AGCACCTGACTTATGCACTGTATGTATTTATGAATCTCTAAATCAGTTAAAATCTTCTGAATCAGTTTAAATTTTCTGATCACTATTAAACTGGCTCACATTTATGACTTTTTAAATGATGCAGTTTTGTATTTTTCTGGTGTTTCAATGAATTGTTCCACTGGCTCCATCAATCATCACCTTTAGCAATCCTTACCCTGCTCCCAGGACTCAAAGCTCTATAATGAAGATCCACCTGCAACTCAATTTTGAGACTGAACTGAGCTTCAGGAACCAGATCCACATTCTATACACACCCCTGGTACTCCTGCTGCAGTGCTTGTGCCCTTGTGCTGCTTCTTATTTAGGGCTTTTCTTATGAAAATTAATCCCATTTCTTTTTCCAGCCTCCTTGCCAGTCTTCAGTAGGACTAATCTACTGAAAAAGCACATAGAGGAATGACTGATTTTTACTGCTTAGAAAATAATGATGAGTGAAATACTGATCTAGAGTTGTGTAAGGAACGAGGTGCTGAGATAGAAACCTGTTACCGAAGAGATTCCCCAGATCTTCCTTTAGGAGGTGGTATCACATGTGATCTATCTCAGCCTTTCTTTCACGGTGATAGGAATTTTTAAAAATAATTAAAATGGTTTGCAGTGGTGTTCTGCACTCTGACATGAGTTATGGTGATGGTGTTGCAGAGTACACAAAGTCTAGAGTGGGATTTACATCATCATTTGTATCTGTGAAAGCTCCAGCAGTATCTGCCTGCATAAATCAAGGAGTTTTCTCATCCCATTAAGAAATGATTTAATTCCTTCAGATTTCATCTGAACAGGACTAGAATCCCTGCTGAGACAGATGCAGGGATGTCAATAATGGCAAGTCAGAGATTGATTCTGGAGACAATTTCAATCCCCTGGGTTCTCTGGCGCTGAAGGACTGAAATACAAGGATGCTGAAAGACCTGTGGAAATAAAACACTCAAACATTACTATTCAAAAGCCGGGGGGGAAACCCCTATTGCTCCTGTGGAACACCCCTTTGGTGAAAGGATTGGTTCCTGGGAGTGCAGGATTGGCCACACAGCCAAGGACCATTCCCTGGATCCCTGCAGTGGCCAGGGGTGTTTGATGTGCACCATCCACTGTGCCCTGTGTGTGCTCAGCAGGGCTGGCAGAGCAGAGACTCACCCTGAAGGGCTGGCAAAGCTGGCAGGGAAAGCTGACAGGCTGTGGGGTTTCTCCTGGGCCAGAAGAACATTCTGCTGCCTTGCTCCTGTTACAGGCTCCACACAGTTCCTTCTTCTAAATAATGTAATAGTTGCTTTTTGTTTGAGGTTGCAGGGGAAAGACTTTAAAACCAGCCAAAAAACTCCCCCTAAGCCAAGTGTAGCATTTAGGAAAGGACATTTCTTCACCTTCAATATAAGCTGCAGTGTGCATATGTGAATATTTAAAAGAGAAAATGCAGTTCCCACTGCAGGCCTGTTTCAGCAGTTACCATAAACATCTGCAGCAGCTCCCTGTGTGCTGGGAAGTCCAAAGGGCTCAGAGCTGTCCCTAGACAGCAGGCATGAAGAGAAGGACTGAGATTTACAGATCCCCTGAGAATCAGCTGTGCTTGCTGCACCATTTCCTCTCCAGGCACTCGACAGTCTAGGCTATAGGTATTCCAAGGGAATTATAGGGAATCTTTTTTTTCGTTTATTTCGTTTATTGCTTTCAAAGATGATTTAAACAAGGGAATATTTCTAAAGGAACCGGAATTGCAGTGTCCATTGTTCTGCATTTCCACCCAGTGAGATTGAGAGAGAATCATAATTGAGGGATGCAGAGTTAGGCTGGAGCAAGAATTTGGGCTTTTTCTGTGAGCAGACTGTTCTGGAGATTATATTCAATTTAAATAATTATATGTTATGGGAAAGTTGATTAAATTTTGAATCCAAAGGATTTATAAATCCCTTTGTAATGAATGGTTCTGCACAAAGATGAGAACCCCTGTGATGTCCTCAGAGTACCCTGAACAATGCCTTAACCTGGAACACTGGCTGGATTTAAGGCTGGCTGGGTTTTGTGGCCTTTTGAACAAAAGGGACCAGAAAATGGTTCAGTCCCAGAAAATGTGTGCCCAGCAGGGGTGGTTCTAATAAAGCTATCTAAATAAAAGCTCTTGTAGGGATACTGCCTGGAAGTATCCAGGGATACCATCCAGCTTCCACTTTCTTCAAGTTCAGTCTGTGTTAAAGGTCACTAACTATTGCTGCTTTCTGTTAATACTCACAGTGGAAATGTGTCTGTTAAATTGTTCCCATTTACCCACTGAAAAAAAAAAAAAGAATTTTTGAACAAAGCTATGGGATTTCTGGTAGAGAAACTGGTATCTAGGCTGATGTAATCTTCTATCCCCTTTCAAGTACACGGGTAGACACATGTAGAAAGAAGCAACTTTGTAATAGAAAAGGAAATAATTTCTGTCCCTGTTGTCCTGATCACACATGATTGCAAAGGGATTTTAAACAACATGCTTGCTAACTGCAAGGGCTTTTACACTGTGGATTAACAAATTTGAAAAAAATCAAAAAAAAAAAAAAAAAGGAACCTCTTCTTCAGTTTCCTCTCACCTGCCTTAATTTTTCATTTTAACTCCATACTGCAGATCAGGGTTACCTTGTTAGGTGCTTAATGAGGCTGAGGGGACCCACATGGTGTGGCCAGTGAAGGAATTCTATCCAAATTACCTAAACATTCTTCTTCCCTACCTGAAGGCAACCTTGCATTACAGGAGAATCAGAATGTCCTTCAATATGAGGGCAATCTAAAGACTTTGCATCAGGAGATTGATAAACTTAGATTTGTAAATTGTATTCTCCAGCTCTTAGGGGGATTTGCTGGATATGCTGCTCTTCAGTTCTGGTGGGAATGAATGAACCTCTTCAGTTTTTCGTGCATGAACAATCAGATTAAGAGACATGCAGATTAAAAAACAAGCTGAAATTTTATATTCTTTGCATTAGTAGACAAAAAGTTTTTTTGTGAAGAAACTGATAGCATGAAAATATCTCCTATTTTATAGGACATTGTAGAAACACAGGCGTGTGAGCTGCAGAAGAGTGAGTGCTGTTCTGAAAAAGCTTGTTCATGGAAGTGCTGGAGCACTGAAAGGAATAAAAGAGGGAAAAGAGTGCTCTAGGGTTGCTAGAGCACTATCAAACCCATGCACAGCACAACAGGATATGTGGTCTGTGCTGGACACTGCAGAATCACAGGGAAAGACTCAGGGAAAATCCAGCAGCAGCAGTGGAGTCCCAGGGCTCTGAACAGCAAGAAGGACCTGGCCCTGTGCAAAGGTGCTGTGGCTCCTGGAGGGGACCAAGAACAACTCCCAGAGCAGGAATTCACTTTAGCCCAACAGTCTCAGAGGCTGGTGGGAATGGCTGAAATCCAGCAGGTCACCAGTCAGATTGGCTGATTGAGAGAGCCAAGGAATGCTGAGACATTGTGGAAGCCTTGAACCTCAGCTGCCTAAAGCACGAGCAGTGCAATGACAGCTTGCTGACACTGCAACAAAGATCAGTCTAGAAAAGGTGGCTGCTTTCTCTTCAGAGCTCTTGTGCTTTAATGTCAGCATGGACTCCTTGTGGGTATGGTAACTGGAAAGTGAAATAGTGAAACAGCTGAGATGAACCTCATTAAATATGAAAAAGCTGACAGTCAGTGTAGATCTGCTGTGAAGAAAGAGTGTGAATTTAGGATGACTCAAAGCAACGTTTAAACCTGTGTTACCTCTCAGAAGCAGCTCTTCACCTGCTCCTTCAAAGTTATAAACCCATGAACTTCACAGTATATCCTAAATATAATTGTACTGGCAAAATGCCCTGTTAGAATGGCAGTGGAAAGTGGATACTTTTTCGATTAATTATTTTTTTTTTTTAAATCCAAAGTTCCCACTATCCTGAAGCTTGAGGAAAACCATGAGAATGGGAAAGCCTTCAAAGCTCTGCAGGTATCAAGCAGTTCCTTCAACTCCTCATTCTTGACTTGTGCATCACAAGGCTCTTTTGAGGGGTCCCAGTGAGGGTGGTGGTGGTGTCTTTAAACTGTGCTACAGAGATGTGGGTTCCTGACCTGGGCAAGGGAGGTCCTGCCTTCCACTGCAAGCTGGAAAGGGAATGTGATTTGGAGTCAGGTGTTTATGGTTTGATGGCTGCTCTGGATCGTTTTTGGTTGTTGGTGTATGCTTTTGGTTTCTGTTTGTTGGGGTTGGTTCGTTTTAAGCCTCTTTTAGCTGCTGAAGATGAAGCACAGACTGCAATGCTTGGCCAAGGAAGGTATGAACTCTGCCAACAACAAAATCCTGTTTGAACTCCTCCTGCCTTCTGGATGGCTCCTGCATTGGTGTTAACTGGAGAAATGTGCTAGAAATGTTAACAAGGGTGATCGCTGTGTTTTATGGGGCTGCAATTACAGCTTTAGAATGTTCAGCCAGTGCATGCTGACCTGCTGCAATTTGCAATTCTGAATAGCACCTACAGCAGGGACTTTCACTCTGATGTCCCTTGTGCTGACAGCACTTGAGACAAGAAAAACCCTGCTGTTGGGATTATGACAATAATTGATGGATTCATAGGTCCTGTGTCATTTGTTAATACCATCCTGTTAAGTCCTTCTGGGAATGAGACCACAGATTTTTCTAAGCAGCAGCTGCTGCAGGGTTTCCTGAAACTCCAGATTTTCGAGCTGGGCCAAGGAAGGCAGTGCTGAGGATACAAACATGCCTGGTTGCAACAACGTGAGCCAACAATCCCTGAGCCTGCAGCCTTGAGAAGGTGTGGGCAGCCTTGGTGATTCAGAGTGCTGAGGGTGCTCAGTGGGCTCTGTGGTTCAGAAAGGAAACTCACTGCTCCTGCTCCCCTCCTGTGTCCCTTGGAGATAAACCCTGCCTGGAGAGAGGCTGGAGATAGCCCAGCCAGGTGTGTGTTTATTCCCCATGTTGCCCTTTATCAATGTTTGATTACCCAAAAACTCTGCAAAGAGAACCATGTACATGTCACGCCTAGAAAATCTCTGTGACTGAGAAAAAAAGGAATGAACAACGACTGAGGCATTAATTTACATCTGTCAAGGTGATTACTGACTGAATTATGGTTCTATTTCCTCTGATTAATTTAGCACAAGATTCCATCTTTTATTCTTTCCCTGCTCACGAGGTGGATATCCCTGATGAAGCGCAGGTACTCTGGAATAATTTTTGCAGTGTTACTTCTCTCTCCAAACAAGTCCTCCTCACCAGCAGCTCCTGAGTTGTTGCAGGAGGAATCAATACAGGGTCTGGTCAAATTATCTGGTGCATGTGCTCAGTTATCTGCTCATGTCTCAGTTATTCCCAGACGTGAAATTACAAAGCAGCTGCCACTACACTGAGGAAGGATTCCAAAGGAGCAGGATGTCCCCAGGATGAGCTGGGGGAATGCTGGTCCTGGGGCAGGCAATGTGGGTGCAGAGTGATCATGGTATGAGATCAGATTAATTACTCATTCATGCATGCATCTGTAAGTTAGGAGCATGTATTTAATCATTATTTGCCATAATATTTAATTAGATTTGAATCATACTTTTTTTGTTATGGTTGCATTTTTTTCAGTGAAGTTTTAATCTTTCTTGAAATTTTGGAATACTGTTTTTGTTCTTAGCAGATTTTTTTTCTAAAATTTAAAAGCAACATTAAGCAGAGAAATCTAATTTCAAGGTTTTATTTACTCTATAAACACTGTCCTTTGGGTTCTGACTCAAGGTAATTCAATATGAGCACATCAAACCCATCTCTGTCTCCTACAAATGTGTATAGATCTATATTATCACAAATAGTTCTGTGCTATGATCCCAAATCAAGATTAGTACTAAATTAGTTTGCCTAATGTCAGCTTGATTTTGCCTTCAATGAAGGGCTCTTCTAATTCGTGTTGGCTACTTCTACTGATAAAATTAAGGTTTTTCTTCCACTATGACTTAGCAGAATGCAGCAGGATTTTCACGTTTCCATAATGTGGTAGGAGAGCTGCTGACTTTAAGGCTTATTTCCATTTGTTGACGGCAGTTTGCCCGTGGCAGAGGGAGGGATGGCCCAGCCCTTTGCTGTGCCAGCACAGAACATCCTGGAGGAGTGTGCTGGGAGCAGAGGTGTCCCCACAGAGCTCTGGGGCTGCAGGTGCTCCTCTTCCTGAGGAACATGGAGCAGAGCACTGTGATTTCCTGTGCAACCCTTCAAATGGCTTTTACTGGGTTCCAGGAGAAAATCTGTGGGCTTATCATTGTGTCTGCTCCCCTGTACAACAGCTTCCCACACAGCCAGAGGTGGCCCTTGCTGGACTACACTAAAGGAATTTATCACCTGCAGAGCCAACAGAACTCTTTCTGTCCCAGCAGAACAGAGGATGCAGCAGGAACTTGGCATCCAAGTGCTCTGTGCCTTTTCAGAAGGAAGGGGTGATAGCAGTGGCCAGGAGCAGCCCACACTGCACTCACGGGGATGTTCAGCTCATGAGACAAGGCAGCTGCTCAAGCACCACACAATAACGAAATGTGCAGCATTTTAGCCCATGGAGACTTACTGTGTCTTGGTCACTGCTGAAGTCCCACGCTGGTCTCTGTTGGGATGCAGTGTGGTGGGGACAGGCTGCTGTGCAGGTGCTGGCAGGGCTGCAGGGACAGTGGGACACTGGTGGCACCATGAATGACACAATGCTCTGACTGCAGGGATTTCTGAGGGATTGTCCTTTGGGCTGGTGACTTAACTCTGCCCTTCCCTGGGTTCCCTTGTGATTTAATCTAAACCCCAATGGCCCTTTCTGTGGCACATGATCTCTGTCACAATCTGTGTTCAGTCACATCCTATTTCTGCATATTTTTCCTGCACTTGCTGTGACCTGTGAAGAGGAATGAATTACCAGCACACTGTTTCCTTAAGCTGAGCAATTACTTTGAATGAATATTACATGGATTATGTGAAGACAGAAAGTGGGAATAGAGACTTGCTATGGAAACAGGGATTTTTCCCATGTTTTTTGATGCTTTCATCTCTTCTGCAGTGGGGATTACTGTGCTATTTATTCTTTATGGTGAAAATATGACAGTTATGTCTGTTAGATTTTTCATACTTTTCTTTATATTCCTTAAAAAGCGAGAAATGTAAATTACATTCCTGTACTATCTTTGGGTATTTTGTTTTTATTCTGATGAAGTTTTCTTTCTCCAGGCAACAAAAATTAAGATGTTGCATTATGCTTGTCTCATTCATGCAATTTTTTCAGGTGAGCTGTGTGTCCTTGTCAGCTCATGTTCCACCGTGTTTCCAGAATGGGAGTTCTGTAGAATTTTGCAAAGCCCTGCTGCTTGCTGTCTCCAGTGTGGTATTTAGAGCAAGAAAACTTTTAAAGCCCAACAGGTGGACTGACCTCTGTATTTTATTGAAGTGATTAATCTGTCTCATATTTTCATTGACTGATGTCTGTGTTTCTGCAGCAATTATTCACTTCTATGTGTTTCTGCTGTGCTGTATAAAATATTTTCAGTACTGAGAATCAGGGATCCTTCACCAAAGTGTGTGGGCAAAAGAGCCACCTGAGAAGCTCAGGGATCCACACTTTATCCTCTTGCTATTAAACGACTTCCAAAACAAGAAGGAGAAATTCCTCACTGAGCCAGCAGTTTCAGTTTAAGAGGAAGAGAGAGAACAGTGATATTTGTAATCCAGTGCTAAATGCAAATAAGTTCTGTGTCTCTTTCTTCGGGAGATTGCTTCCCTGAGTCACCGGGGTTCATTTACATTCGGGTGACATCTACAAGAATTTTGCCAACACAGCCTATTAGTGCAAACATTGTGTCAGCTCTGACATGTGTCTTTGCTGGAGGATCCCCAGCATGGCTCAGTTTGTCCCTGGTGGCAGACGTGCAGTCACACGGGGAGCGGTGCCAGCCTCCGGCGCGCCTGCATCCCGCCCAGCCCTGCCTCCACAGCCCTGCATGGCCAGGAGGCAACAGAAGCCTTTCCCAAAGCCTTTCCCTTTTATCTGGAACAGGATCAGCACCTGGATCTGGCTCCTGGAGCAGACACGGGCAGGTCCCAGGCCTTTTTCTGGAGCAGAGGCACAAACACATCACCGGGATGGGCTGGCAGAGCTCCCCAGGGGCAGCTCCAGCCCCAAACAGGAATTCAGACAGGCCCAGCACTCCTGGGGCCACACAACTGAATGCATGGAAAAGAAAGGTTGTTATTATCCCCGTAGCTGCACTGAAAGGATGCTACAGACTCTTCTTCCAGTCTAACTCACAAGAGTGTGCTACAAAGGTGGGGAAGGGGTCAGTGCCAGGAGCATTGTCTGAATAAGATCCTCAGTTCTTTGTCTTCCTTTCCCATGTCCCGGCTTTGTGCATTTCCCTGCCTATCCCACGCAGAAGGACTGGGGCAGTTACTTCCACTTCCCTCCTCAGAGAGGGTGTCCTCAGGCTTTCTTTCATTTATAAACATAATTTACAGGTTCTGTGAATTGCTCTTGTTAATGGGAGTCACCAATGATGCTTAGTAAGAGACATCAGAATACTTTCTTGTCTACCACTCCATACACTTTTCTCCTGCCTTGTTTATATAATAATATACATATATTATAAATGCATATTATTATATGTAATATGCATTTATTTGTCACTCTCCTCTGGGGAACAAAGCCTGGCAGCTACAAACAGTTCTTTTGCAATGCAATGATAGGAACAAGCCTCTTCTGAAAGCCACTCAGATTAAACCAGCCCCATTATTTTAGTTGACTCAAGGCAGATTTGCGTTTGGGATTTCAAGGAGGTGTCATGCCCCCTGGCCCTGCTGGCTGCTTTCTATTCACTCTGTTCACTTTGTATTTTTCATCTTATTCTCAGTTCTACAGCTTACAGTGTTTTCCACTAACTCACATTTCATAAAGATAATGTGCCAAAACCTGCAATCTGCTATTTTTTATAAAGATACTAAAGCTGGGCCTCAGTTCAGGAAGGTACTTATGTGCATAGTTTATGCTCTGTAAATGCATCCTTGATTTTATTCCTACAAAATTTTCCAATTGAGGAGGCACCGAGATTCATGTCCTAAAACTGTCACTGTTCCATCCCTTTAGATTGTGGGAGAGGGTTTTGTCTTGCTGATGGGCTTGTCTTGTTTTCAAAGTTTGTATTATAGAAGTGTTAAAATCAAAATTACCAGAATGTTGGAAAGCACTTTTGCTGAAATTCACAGATTCACGTAACAGGTGAAGGAAAAGGCACGGCAAGGTCACTCCTTTAACAAGAACAAGAAAAGTGGCTGTGTTTGTGGGTTTATGGAGCAGCCTTTCCCAGGCTGCCTTGATAGAGACTTTTAAACCTTGGCTTCTCCCCTGAAAAAGGGCAGCCATTCAGAGAAATATGTTAATATCCCTCTAAATACATCAATACTACCGATCATTTCTCACTATGAAACAGAACTGGTCATTCCTTACATCCAGTCAGACAATTTACTGTCGTTATATCCATCTTAAAAATGGCTGTATTTAGCAGGAGTGAGCATTTTCTAAGTTCATGGGACAAGGGGAGTCATTGTCACAATGCCTGTCCCATTTCAGGAGGAGCTGGCACTGCAATCTTTGCTTGTCCCTGCTCCTCCTCCTGTGGTAAGGCTCCTGGTTTCCCTCAGCCATTGTCAGAGCCTGCAGGGGAAGGCAAAGGGGCCACAGCCCTGCAGGTTTGTCCCTCTTGTTTCCTGTAGGCCAGAACTCTCTGCTCAGTTGTTATTTCCTAAGCCCTCTGATCCTTTTAGCTTCTGAAAAGATAAGATGTCAAATTAGAGCCGCAATCCCAGATAAAATTCTGTTCTAATTTACAGTTACTCGAGGGCCATTGCAATTATGTCCTTTGTTCATTTCTGCCTACAGGAGTAGTGTGTCAGTGGATTTTCTGTATCAGGCAAGATCAACAAATACCGACCCTCAGCAAGTACTAAAATACTCATTAAATAAAACCCAATGGCA